ACATGCTCGATGTCTGTGTCATCGTCTATCTTGACGATATTCTGATCTACTCTGATACGCCAGAAGAACACCGAGAACACGTTAAGGAAGTCCTTCGGCGGTTACGGAAACATCGGCTTTACGCCAACCCCGAGAAGTGCGAATTCAATATGGATACTGTTGAGTATTTGGGTTACATTCTTTCTCCCGACGGATTGACTATGTCCAAGGAGAAAGTTCAGACCGTTCTAGAGTGGCCGGTTCCGAGGAAGGTTAAGGACATTCAGTCCTTCCTGGGTTTTGCAAACTTCTATCGTCGTTTTATTTATAATTACAGTGATATCGTTGTGCCGATGACTCGGCTTACCCGAAAAGGCGCGTCCTGGATCTGGGACAGCAGCTGTCAAGAGGCCTTCGAAAATCTGAAAATCGCTTTCACTTCTGCGCCAATACTGGCCCATTGGGAGCCGAATCGCCCACTTATCGTGGAAACCGACGCTTCCAATTACGCCATTGCGGCTATTCTTTCCATCCAATATGCTGACGGTGAAATTCATCCTCTAGCCTTCCTTTCCAGAACGCTTCATGCGGCGGAACTCAACTATGATACACACGACAAAGAGCTACTGGCCATCTTCGAGGCCTTTAAAGCTTGGCGTCATTATCTGGAAGGCTCGGGTGATCCGGTGGACGTCGTCACCGATCACAAAAATCTTGAGTATTTCTCTACTACCAAGATTCTCACACGCCGACAGGTCCGATGGTCAGAATTTTTACATCAATTTAATATGGTCATTCGCTTCCGACCGGGGAAACTCGGCGAGAAACCTGATTCGATAACTAGACGCTGGGACGTCTACCCTAAAGAGGGGGATATCGGCTACGCCCAAGTGAACCCTCACAACTTTCGTCCTATCTTTACTAACGAACAACTCACTGCGTCTCTTCGAGCTACCTTCCTGGAAGGCTCCGGTTTTACGAGCCTCGATAATCATGGATATCGAAGCCCTACACCAGGCTATCATTCTCGCCCTTCCCGCCGACCCGAGCTCCGTTGCTGGTTTGGCACTTGCCAAAGATCCTTCCAATGAACGTTGGAGCTTAGGTAGTGACAAGCTACTACGCCTGGACGACCGTATTTATGTTCCTAATCACGGCGATCTTCGCCTTCAAGTTCTCCGCTACTTCCATGATCATCCACTCTCCGGCCATTTCGGCCAGAACCGCACTCTAGAAGCTGTACGTCGTCAGTACACCTGGCCCAAGGTCAGAGACTTCGTACGTGACTACGTTACCTCTTGCACTATCTGTGGGCGCAACAAACCTCGCCGTCATCGGCCTTACGGGTTGTTGAAGCCTTTGCTGGTTCCGGTCCGACCATGGGATTCCATCTCCATGGACTTCATTGAGCAACTGCCAATGTCGAATGGCTTTACCGCTATTCTCGTCGTTGTGGATCGATCTTCCAAGCAAGCTATCTTTATTCCAACTCACGACACCATTACTTCTGAACAACTAGCTGAGCTTTTTGTTATTCACGTCTTCTCTAAACATGGTGTCCCTAATCATGTCACTTCTGATCGTGGTTCTGAATTTGTTTCGGCGTTTTTCCGGGCTCTCGGTAAAGCGCTCTCCATGGAACTTCACTATACCTCTGGATATCATCCGGAAGCCGATGGGCAAACTGAGCGTGTCAACCAGACTCTCGAACAGTACATCAGGATCTATTGTTCCTACCAACAAGATGACTGGTCGCCTTTACTTCCGATCGCCGAGTTCGCCTATAACAACGCTCCCAATGCTTCCACTGGTATTACTCCATTCTTCGCTAACAAAGGATACCACCCAAATATCACCGTTCGGCCCGAGGTCGACATGAAGTCTGATCTAGCCAGAGACTTCGTCGTCAATCTCGATGAACTCCACGTCTTCCTTCGAGAGGAAATCCTTTTAGCTCAGTCTCGTTACAAGGAACAAGCTGACAGGAAAAGAATCTCGCACCCGGAGTTCCCGATCGGCTCCGAAGTATTTGTTCTTGCTAAGCACATTCGCTCTACTCGTCCTACTGAAAAATTCTCAGAAAAATATCTTGGTCCTTTCAAGGTCATCAGTCGACCTGGTACTCTGTCTTACGAGCTCAAGCTCCCGGATTATCTTCGCCGCATTCACCCGGTCTTCCACGTCTCACAGCTGGAGCCGGTTACGCCGAATCCTTTCCCGAATCGTACTCAATCTCCTCCACCTCCAATTGAAGTTGATGGTGAAGAGGAGTACAACGTTGCCGAGATCCTGGACTCTAAACTGGACAGAAGGTATAAGCGTTGTCCTCTACGTTACTATATTCGGTGGGCCGGTTACGAAGGTACCGACGATGAATTCTCTTGGGTAGCTGCTGATGAATTACATGCTGACGAACTGGTACCCGCATTCCACACTCGATACCCTTTGAAACCTGGACCTTGATCACCCAAAATCATTTTATTCCTTTCCCCCGTTTTCCGCCGCGCTCCGCCGAAGTTTACTTTGTGCGTTTAGAGGGTAAACACGATGATAGCAAATTGAGTGTTTATCTCTTTCTCTTAATTGCTTACATTCTCCTTCTATCTACTATTTCACTTATATTTCTTTCACACTTAGACTAATTACACTTCGTACTAATTACTTCTTACGCCGCTTCGCGGCCCATTCGCTTTCCGATTTCAAAATCGAGTTAACATTTTTTTTTATATATACAAAGTCCAAAAAACAAAATTATATAACGAAGGCAGGGCAACAAGAAGAGTACAAGAAGATGGCCGAAGGCCGATGTTCGATGTCCGATGTTACTCTACTCCGCTCTCTCCTTCCCTTTCTCCGACCGGGCCTTCTTCGGCGCCGGTTCTCCCTCTTCTTCTTCCTCCGCCTTCCTTTTTTCCTCCTTCCTCTTCCGGTTCTTCTCCCTGGTGAGTTGCAATTGGAGCTCGAGCTCCCGTTCCTCGTCAGAAGGATCCGGCGTTGAAGGGCGAGTTGGGGCCGGGGGCGAAGTTGGATGGGCGCCGGTGACTGAAATCGAGCCGACGGTAGTGGTGGTTCGGGTGGTGGTGCGACTAGAGGACATGTGTACTTGGAGTTTTTGGGAACTTGGCCATAGCGGCAAAACCTGGCCCTTTTTTATAGGGTCAAAACTACGCACGGACCAGCGAAAATTTTCCTTCGAGTTGTACGGGGTGTACGGTGAACCGCGCCAATTCCCGGTACTAACGGCTTTTGAAAATTTTCCTGCTGACTGAAGGGCCAAATCCCCGATCCTGACGGCCTTTAAAATTTTTCCTTGGTGACTAACCAACTACCGGTATTAATGGCTTTCGAGGGCTCAAGCCTAAGAGGGGGATACTGTCAAGTCCATGCCGCGGGCCTCCATTCCGCCGCTCGGGATTCCGAAGATCTGCTCCTTATTGTTATCTCACTCTTATTGTTCTTTCTCGCTACACATACCCTTTCGTTCTAGTCCCTTCTTATTGTCTTTTACTCTACCCTGCAGGTACTACTCGTATAGCTCCTAGTAGTTAGTCTGGCGCTCCGCACCGCTGCGCCGATCCGTAGATATAAATACTGCCTGTACGCTACTGTAGTTCCTCAGTTTAATTATCAACTTAGATCAACTTAGATCTCCCTTCTCAACTTAACTCTTCTCTAAGTCTTCAGGCTCAACGCCTCGAAGTACGTTCTCCTCGACCTTAGGACTTTGACGTTCTCTGGTCCGCTCCTCGTCATCGGCGATACCGCCGCTCCGACCTGGCTGCTACTTAGCTCCTCTCTCTCTACTCTCGCTCTCCGGGGACTAACGGCGTAACGGCGGTGTTGTTAATAACTTCACTACTGTCCCACTCGTCTTCCGCACTTAGACACCCTGTGGCCTTGGCACGGTTACACGGTGTACATGATCTTAACACCGGGTCCTTATCATACACCACAGTCTATTCCTTATCTTCCACCGCACTATGATGCAACTTATAATTCATTAAATATTTCAACTAGTACAGCCCCGAGGAGTGTGAAGCAGAAGAATACAATGCCTGGTATGATTTCTCTGTGCCAATTGTCATATCATCTTGATGATTTGCAGGTACTCGTGGTCGTGGAACTGGAGCCGCAAAAAAACGGCCAAGAATATCACAAGAATCGCAATTGTCCACTCCTTCTAATACATCATCTCAACACCGCGGTATGCTTGTATATATGTACTTCTCTTGAGCTCGAGTTTGATGAATGAATCTAGTCTTAGAGATATTGCCATCACCTTTCAGTGATTCCGAGGGTGAAGAAACTACTCAGTTAAGTCCAGAGTCTTCATCACAGCATGTCGGACCTACTGTACCTGGTGTGGGTCCGATCGATGATATGACCTCAGGTGCACCGCAAGCATTCGTAGCTGGGACTCATTTTGGCTCTTTGGTGAACGAGTCAAGGGTGGGCCAAGCACAAATAAATTCCGCATCTCATATCTGGTACTTTGTCCGTGCTCTCAGCAGTCCAGATGATTTTACGCCTACATCATCAACAGAACCTAAGAAAAATTGGGAGATGCGACCTCCTGCAAAGAAATTTTCTCATCTAAGTTGTAAATTCTGCTCGTATGTATTCAATCTTTTAACTTCATATCTATTTATTCACTTGCAAAGCAGAACTAATTGTAAACCCAAGATCTGGCGCAACTCTGATGGTCAAAATAAAACCATCCTCCAACATCTCTTGAGGCATCACCAGAAAGCTTGGACAAATACTGTAGTTCTGAAGAAACTCAAGGGATGGGAAGAAGTAGTCCGGAAAGCTGATCCCGATACAAGAAGTAAGATACCGAAAGAGAAATTGCCATTTACAATTGAAGGCTTCCGTGAACGTTTAGAACGTTGGGTTGCTGTTGATGATCAGGTACAGTTTTACACACTGCCACAATGATTACAACTCAGCTTTTCCTCTAGTCAATAGCTGTTGTTGAATGCCCAGAGTTTTGGGATCTGCTTTGGTATACTGGAACTGAGCTCGAAGAATCTGATATTCCTCATCGCACAAAGCTTTCAGAGCTCATAGATAAGCGGTTCAAATCGGAGTACAACAAGGTTATCAATGAGATACGGGTATGTATATGCAATACTTTTTCGCAGTGACTTTATTGATTGCATTTGACAGAATTCCCTTGGTCGACTGGCTATTACTGGTGATATATGGTCTCGTATCAACCTTGAGGGCTACTTAGCCATCACAATCTCATATTTGCATCGGAAACCTTCTGGAACAATTGAAATGCGCACTCAACTTGTCGCATTCTGCCATGTGACAGCTAGTCACACTGGTGCTAATATTGCAAAAATTGTAATGGATATCTTGACGGACCTTGGGGTTTTAAACAAAGTTCCTAAGCAGTGTTTCTTTCACAGTATCCACCAATTACTTATCTTTCCATAGATCAGGATGGTCACACTTGATAATGCGAGCAATAACAACACTATGATGACCAGTGTTGCCGAGGAGCTCAAAGTGCTGGGAATTCCATTTGATGTTGTCGGAAATCGTATACGGTATGAGATTCAAATAAAAAACTATTATTTACATGCTCTAATATTGTAAAAAGATGCTTTCCACATGTTGTTAACATTGCAGTAAAGACTGGTCTCAAGCACCTGACCATGCTGCTTGGTTCTGCCACTGACAGTGATCTTGAAGGGACCACTGATTCTCTGCATCTGCCTGATGCCTTATTTGAAGACAACGACTATGCAGATGCACTCAAATGTAATGTTGTTTCAGCTGCGACAAGTCTTGTTACAGCTATTCAAGGTTCGGGTCAGCGCCGTGAAGATTTTAAGCAAATTATCGAAGATGGAAACATGGCAGAGGGTTGGGGAGTTGGTGACTCACTGCGACCATTACACGTTGTGGAATTGCTCAAGGATGTTGAGACTCGATGGTCTTCAACATTTCTTATGATTGATTGACTACTTGAGTTGTGGTTAGTAAGTGATCGGTTGCATTGTTTATTCATTCTTACTTCACTCAATGCAACACATCCACTCAATAGGCTGTTGAGAAGTTTCTTGACAGACATCCAGAGCTTGATAAGCACCTGTCAAGTCCATGCCGCGGGCCTCCATTCCGCCGCTCGGTAGTCCGAAGATCTGCTCTTATTGTAATCTCTTCCTATTGTTCTTTCTCGCTACACATATCCTTTCGTCCTAGTCTCTCATTATTGTCTTTTACTCTTTTGTTCTAGTCTCTCCTTATTGTCTTTTACTCTACCCTGCAGGTACTACTCGTATAGCTCCTAGTAGTTAGTCTGGCGCTCCGCACTGATGCGCCGCTCCGTAGATATAAATACTGCCTGTACGCTACTGTAGTTCCTCAGTTTAATTATCGACTTAGATCAACTTAGATCTCCCTTCTCAACTTAACTCTTCTCTAAATCTTCAGGCTCAACGCCTTGGAGTACTCCCTATTATAACCTTAGGACTTAGACGTCCTCTGGTTCGCTCCTCGTCACCGGCAATACCGCCGCTCCGACCTGGCTGCTACTTAGCTTCTCTCTCTCTACTCTCGCTCTCCGGGGACTAACGGCGTAACGGCGGTGTTGTTAATAACTTCACTACTGTCCCACTCGTCTTCCGCACTTAGACACCTTGTGGCTCTGGCACGGTTACACGGTGTACATGATCTTAACAGCACCGTTTGACTCCCAAGCAGATTGAGGTCCTTCTTGACATTCAGGAATACCTATCGTATGCACATATGGTTCAAGAACTGCTATCAGCACGGCGAACACCAACACTTTCAGTTGTACTGCCACTTTATGAGAAGCTCATCCTCGAACTCAATGCTGCAAAAGAAGATCTGCCTAAAATCAGCCACGCAATCAGCGCATCTGTTGCAAAGCTCGAGGAATACCTCCAGTATGCCCGGCAGAATCGAGTTTATGTTCTTGCAATGGGTATGTTGTGTATTATCGATTCCTCTATTTATATCTCTAACATTATCAGTACTACATCCTGGGATCAAGCTTGATTGGCTTATGAAGCATTGGTCTACGGCCGATTTTGTGAATGCGAAGTCGGTTGTCCGTACTGCAGTAAGTTATTGCAAATATGTTTGTTGAATGTGATTATCAATTAAATCCTCAGATGCTAGAGTATCGACAAGCCAACCACGAGTCAACTAAACGGACCTCGAATCCCTGTACACCCCTTCGCCACACAGTCTCTCTATCATCTGCTTCATCTGCCGCACATGCACAAACATCAGGCCTTCAAAAGTTTACTGATGTTCGACAATGGAATGCCCAATGACGATCACAAATTCAATCAGGATTACCATTGACACTGTCATCTCTGACATCACATATCTCTACTCCTGAGCTCGGCTCATTTCCTGAAGATCAAGAGAGCAATTCCGACCATGAGCAACGTGAACAAGAGGAAGATAAGGCTGCCGTAGATGAGGAACTTGACAAATATATAGGGTCTGGTGTCTTTGATGAAAATGACGCTCGTTGGAACGATCTGGACCTCATCCAGTACTGGCAGGTAAGCTTTATATCATACATGAACAGGATCGGATGTTTACTGGTGCTATGCAAAGGAGCGTCAACATGACTATCCTTTACTTTGGCAGATTGCACAGGATGTCCTTCCTGCTCAAGCCTCAGCAGTTCCATGTGAACGTGTATTCTCTTCGAGCAAGGAAACCGATGCACTGCGTCGTAATTCTCTATCTCCACTGAAAATGGAGGTACTTCAAATTCTGAAGTACATTTTCGGTAATGATAGGCTTAATTTTACAGAGGACTTAATATGCACCGAAGCGGAGCTTTTGGTGGCTGATATCTCTACCGAGACTATTGACTATCTTATGGCTAATGGACGTGGACATGAATTAGCTTCTATGATAGATTCTAGCTTCGAATCACAGAGGACTTCAGGATAGTATCTGATCTTCTTAAGTACATACTTAATTATCATGTATACATCTATTCTACATTGAGTCTGTTCTTGTTACTTCAAATCTTCAATGACTCCTAATCAGTGCAGACAAAACTTGCTGCAGGCTCACGCACTCACAATGGAACAGCGGACTTCGAAAGTTGTTGCCTTTTTGAGAAACAACCTTGAGTTGCCTTGGTTTCAACCTTGACCTCGACTTGTTTGAACCAAGGCAAGGTGTTTTTAGTTTTGACCTGGCCTTGCCTTGACCTTGCCTTGCGGCAGCACTACTTTACAGTGACGCGCAAATCAAATCCACACCCCCCGATTTGGAAATTTTGTGATTAAACTGTTTTTGTGAACATTTTTGTATGCTACATCCTGTAAAGCATGTTGATTCTACTATACAGACTTACTTGGGGCAATATAAGCTGTTTGAACCCTCAAAATTCAATATTTCTGAGCAGAGGAACAACTGATTTACGCTGATTTACGGTTCTGGGCTGGTGACATAAGGCCTTCCAAATCAGGGGGTGTGGATTTGATTTGCGCGTCACTGTATGATTCATCTACAAAGCCTGTATTTGGTTGAGGGTTTGAAAGCCGTTGAGAGCATTTCCCAGCAGTAAAAGCGCTAGGATATACTCTCAGCCCATTTTGCAGATGTAGCAGATGAATGATTGAAAGTGTTCGGCACCTGCCGCTTGCGGCCTTACCCCCAGTCATATAAGATAGATGGATACACGGCTCCGTCGAGGACGGGGTCCCTCCCACCTGGTCCCACAAGGGAACAGCCGAGCCCACCCATCTTCACTGCAGCAAATGCTCATCCAACTTGGGATGGTAGACTGCAGCAAGAATGTCGAGGATTTGGCGATCGGTAGAAGCCGAATATGTGTTTTCGTGACGGCTCCGAAGGCTGTGCAGATCGGCTGCCTCTCTTCTCTCTACGACCACCTTCCTCACTTCAGTGAGCGCGTCCCTAGTTGCACACAGAAATATTTATTTCTTCTTTTGTTTCTTCTGTGCACCTTCCACGACGCCTCCCTGACTATCGCTCACATCGCCTTTCTTCCTTTGTCTTAGCGACGCATATACCCACGGGTACTGTGCCACCATGAACCTCGCTGTCACGAAGCGGCAGAGGCGGAGTGACTAAGCAAGGCGGTGAGGCGGAGCGACTAAGCGGAGCGGAGGCAAACTGGTCCCAGATAATGACAGAGATATATTGAGTATCGTTGTCATAGGTAACAATAAGTAAGCACATACCTGGTCCCAGATAATGACAGAGAGGTCAAGATGAGGGACCAGGCTGTGAGGGGTTGGCTTTATATACATAATCCGATCTGCGAGAAATGACGATGTAATACTGTACAGTTTAGGAACAAGGAAGGTGGTGGAAGCCAGTAGAAGGAGAAGGGTAACAGGTGGATCAGTAATTGATGATGGGGATCAGGTGGGTCAGTAATCGATGTAATCGTACAAGTAAAGGCGTCGAGACGGTGAGAAAAGGAAAATGATAGGGGCTACATACTTCATGACATTACCCCCCTTCTTATGACCATTGCCCTCGATGGTCAAGCTTTTGCTGCTGTGGGGTGTTTCTTGTGGAAGGCACGAACAATTTTTGGAGCCCGGCTCAGGTTGGGCGCTGGTTCCCAGGAGTTATGCCCTGCGTCGTATCCCTTCCACTTTACCAGGTATTCCAACCTCTTCCACCGGACCCGACTATCCAGGATTTCCTCTACTTCATACTCCGGTTCGTCTTCATCCTCTAGGTAGACCGGCTCTGGTGGTGGTGGTATTTCTCCATTGATAGTGTTACCTTTCCAGGGGTAGAGTTTGTCAACATGGAACACAGGATGAATGCGGTCAAGGGAGATAGGGAGGTCAAGGCGGTAGTCCAGGGGTCCAATCTTCTCCAAGATTCGGTAGGGTCCGAGCTGTCGATCTCCTAGCTTCTCGCTGGACAATTGGAGGTTGATGTCTTCTGCACTGAGCCAGACAAAATCTCCGACTTTGAACTGGTGGGCTTTCCGTTTTCCTCGTTCGTATCCCTCTTTCTGCTGCTTTTCCCCTAAGTGCAAGGCGGCCCCTGCGTCCTGTCGGGCTTCTCGGAGTATCCGTATGCGGTCATCTACAGCTGGGATCCCGCTGCGTTGTCCAACTGGGATGTTGAACAAGGGGAGATATCCGTAGGTTAGTTCGAATGGGGACATGCCTAATGCAGAATGGGTTCGTGAGTGGATTACAAATTCAGCCATTGGAAGGTGCTCTACCCAGTCATCCTGCCGACGGCCTATGTAGAGTCGAATGTATTTTTCT